GGGTGTTCCAGTGAGGCATTCCAGAAGGGGGTGAGGAGATTCTTGGGACATTCCAGACTCCAGTTGGCGCCACAAGGAAAATTTCAGAAAAATAAGAATATTCCAAGACATATTCCAGTACGTTTTCTGGAGAGCAGTCCATTCCAAATCATATTCCAGAGAATCCTGGAAGTGTCAGGTAGTAGGAGTACCCAGACACCCACACACTCTCACACCCAGACACTTAAGACAACGAGATACCCAGACACACTCAGACAGACACACTCAGATAGCTACTCAAACACCCAAACACACACACCCAAACACACACCCAGATACTCAAACACACCCAGACAAACACACAAACAGAGCCAGTATATCCCCGGAAACTGTCAGGCTGATCAGAGAGAATCAACAGAGGTTTGGAAGAAGGGTTCAGAGGAGCTTTGAAAAACTCGGCGGCGAATCGAAGAAAAAAAAAATGCAACTGCTGCAGGTAATGACGTTTAATGTGTGTATTAGAACTTTTCTGTGTGTGTGTGTGTGTGTGTGTGTGTGTGTGTGTGTGTGTGTGTGTGTGTGTGTGTGTGTGTGTGTGTGTGTCTTTATGGGGGGTGTATGGAGGGAGAAGGGGAAGAGGAGGGGAGGGGGGAGGATGGAGGGTGGTTGAGGGAAGGGGATGAGGGGAAGGGTGGAGGAGGGGAGAAGGGAAGGGTAGAAGGGGAGAAGAAGGAGAGGGAGGGGGGAGAAGAAGAAGGAAAGGAGGAGGGAGAAGGGAAGGAGAGGGAGAAGGGAAGGAGGAGGGGAGAAGGGAAGGAGGAGGGAGAAGGGAGAAAAGGGAAGGAAGTAGGGAAGAGATGAAGAGGAGGAGAAGGGGGAAGGGAAGGAGGTGGAAGGGAAAAGTAGGGAAAGGGGAGTAGGAAGGAGAGGGGGGGAGAAGGGATGGATGAAGGGGAGAGGAGGTGGGGGTAAAGTAGGGGAAGGGGGGGGAGGGGTAGATTAAGACCTGGTCATTACGGGTTTATTTACAATCTTCTGGGAATGGTTTAAACGGGGAGTCATTAGCGTTGTTCCTAAACCCACTAATGATGGTTTAATTGGAGCTCACTTAAGAGGGTAATTAAGCTTTAACTAACAATGGTTTAAGGGAGTAATTAAGCTTATCTAACTAACAATGGTTTAAGAGTTATTAAATTGTTTATAAACCGCTAACAACATCCTAAGAGGGTAATTACTTATTCTTTATAAATCACTAATACTGGTTTAAGAACTATTAATAAACCAACCAGATGTGTACAGGTATTTCAGTCAAATACGAAATGTTTTCCCAAAAGATCTTATAAAGTAAAGATTTGGCTTAGACTCATAACGAATAGTTCTTGTTTACACCGAATAATGTCGTGTGTGTGTGTGTGTGTGTGTGTGTGTGTGGGGACCTAATGAAGATAGTGATGGAAATATCTTTTTTCATTTTGTAGGGGTTGGGTGGAGGAGGAGGAGAGGAAGAGGAGGAGGCGATATCGTGTCCAAGATTGGTGTGAGGAGAGAGGGGAAAGATGAAGATGGGGCAGTATCGCGTCCGAGTGAGAGGAAAGATAAGGTAGGTGGGGTGGGGAAGGGAAGGGGAATGGGGGGTTAGGAGATTTACAGCGAAGGCGATGACGGAGAAGTACTCGACGACAATACAGGTCAGGCCGCGTGTGTGATAGAAAAGACCCAGATTAATTCCTGCAAATGATGGGGGTGGGGAGATGAGGGAGGGATGAGGGAGTGATGAAGTGGGTAGTGGGGAGATGGGAAATGAAGTAGAGGTGGAGGGAATGGGGAAGGGGAGAAAGAAGGAAGGTGAGAGGGAGGATAGATGAAGAGGTTGCAGGAGACAGGTGGGAGGTAGGGAGGGAGGGAGGGTGAGAGGTTGGGGGAGACAGGTGGTAGAAGGTGGGGAGGGAGGGAGGGAGGGAGGAGGGAGGAGGGAAGGAAGGAAGGAAGGAGGGAGGGAGGGAGGGAGGTGAGAGGGAGGGAGGGTGTGAGGAGGGAGGTAGGGAGGGAGGGTGGTAGAGATTGAGAGGGAGGAAGGAAGGAGGGAGGAGGAGGGTGGTAGGGTGTGAGGAGAGGGAGGTGGGGTGAGAGGGAGGGAGGGTGGTAGGGTGAGAGGGAGAGGAGAGGTGGTGCAGGGTGAGAGGGAGGGAGGGGGAGGGAGGGAGGGGAGAAGAGGCCTAATCCAGCTGACTCATAATAAAGGAAACCTTCAATTTTGGTCTAATCTTCTTTTCCTTTTATCTACATTTCCTTCGCTTTCGTCTGCTACTCATCTCTCTCTTATTTTATCTCGTCTACTTTGTCTACCTTGATCTACTACTTTTTTAGTGTGTCTACTTATCTACCGAAATGCACCATCAACAACAACACACACACACACACACACACACACACACACACACACACACACACACAGTATCGAGGGGAGATGAAAAATGGTGTTTGATTCCTCTATACGTTCGAATCCTGTGAACAAAAGACAAGATTAGTGTTCGAATCCTCAAGTCTAGACGAACAATCGAACACTTCACGATGGATTAAGTAAACAAACAAAAGAAAATACTGGTGCTCGATTACTTCAACAACTCTCCATTTTCTATCGATAACTTTCTTCTTAAACTCTTACTTTCTCTCTTAAGTCTTGAGAGAGAAAGTGAAAGAAGAGCGAGATACCTGATACACCTCCTCATCTTCCCCCTCCTCTTCCTAATCTTCTTTCTTACTCTCTCATTTCTCTCACTTTCTTCCTTCTCTTCCTTACTTTCTCACTCTTACCCTCTTCCTTCCTTCCTCACTCACCTCATCCTCCTCCTCCTCCCACCGTCTCTCTCTCTCTCTCTCTTACGTCCTCCTCCATTCTCCCTCTCCTCCACATCCTCTCGTCCTCCTCTTCTCCCTCCTCCTCCAAACCCTCCAACACCAAACGCCTATCCATCTTTCTCCTCCTCCTTCAATCTCACTAAAAATACCATGTATGTAAAATAAACGTCTCGAGTGATTTAGCCTCCTCTCATCTCCCCCTCTCCTCCCTCTCACCATCCTTCTCCCCTCTTACCATCCCTTTCACCTCTCCCTTCATCTCACCTCTAACCTTCCCTCCTTTCTCCACTCTCACTCCAAACCACTTCTCCTCCCTCTCACCTCTACCTTACCACCCCTCTCCCTTCTCCTCTCATCTTTCCTCACACCCCCTCTCTCCTAACACCGCCCCCCTCCCCAACCCATCACAGCATCTATACATATATAAATATTTTCAAAAGTCTCTCTGGCGGGACAAATGTTTACAAATCTCTTCTTTATGATGTCTATATATAAATTGTCTGGTGGCGCCATCTATTGTCGTCTCAAGATCTTTCCGAGAGACGATAAGAGACAGTCGAGGAGAAGGTATTCGATCTCTCTCGTCTGTCTCAACAATAGGGTCGAGGAGTGTTTAAAAAGTCTCTCGTCTGGGGGATTGGTCTTGGATCTCTTTCTCCGACGTTCTTTTGTTTTTGTGTCTAATGTTTTTCCCAGCGAGTTATTTCACTTATATTTTTTTTAACTCGACATCTTTTACTTTCTTTCTTAATTACTTACGTCTCTTGTTGTTGTTGCTTTGTAGTTTTTTCTATATCTGTTCGTCTTTTGTTTATTCACGTGATCCTTATGATGTTGTCATACAGACATAACCAATCATATTCCCAGGCACTAATGACGCCACGACAAGTTACATTTTCTACCAATCACAGATCCCCTGACAGTAATGATGTCGGGTCAAGTTACAGTTTCTACCAATCCCATCCCCCGACATTAATGACGTCAGGCCTAGCCACCGCCTTAACCAATCACCTTTGCCCACTATTAAAGGTGTCAGGGAGAGAATGGACCCTACAGCCAATCCCATAATCCTCCCTTTTCATGACGTCAGACCGTGCCCACGCCACCTCCAATCACCTCGCCCCGTATCATCGCCGCCAGGAAGATAAAAAGACCCTTCCAATACTCACTTAATCCCCTCTTTTCAATGACGTCAAAACACAAAACAATCTCCACCAATCACACCCGAACCTTTTTACCACTCAGGTTTCAACACAACCAATAGGCCTCACCTGCTCCCCCTCACCAGCCAATCAACGAAGAAAATAAAGGAGTCTGAGATACCGTATTTCGCTCAAGTCTATTGCCAGTACACACACACACACACACACACACACACACACACAATGGCGTCCAAATTACTCCAAGACAATACAATTAATAAATATCTTCTATAAAAAATGGCGCAGTGTTAATTAAATACTTCGTGTCCTTACCTGGAATAATTTGTTAATTAAGTGACGTCACAAAGGTTTTTCTTCAGTAACGTCAATAATTACGATTCAATTTAACATTATCGAATTCAATTACGACAAACATCATTAACTATCTCTAAAATATTAACTTACGACCACTTTACGTTTTGTTTACTGTCAATACTACGTAACTACCTCGTTCATTCAGTTCAGGTAAGTTAATGACATAGACGTCGACAGGTAATTAAAACACGTCATAAAACAGGTGTTTGGAGCAGCTTCTCTCAGGTACAAGACGAGGTGATGATTAACACGGCCCTGGGTGTAACTTATGGTACAATTATGGTACAGCAAGTATATACGACTAAGGAGTAACTTATGGTACAATTTACAAGCATAAAATATTCAATGGAAATGAATTATGGCGCTGATACTGGTACACGCACACACACACACACACACACACACACACACACACACACGCATAAAACAAAATGAATTATTACACTGACACACACACACACACACACACACATCTACCCACACACAAGCATAAAACAAAATGAAAATGATTATTACACTGACACACACACACACACACACACACACACATACACACACACACACACACACACACACACACACACACACACACACACACACACACACACACACACACACACACACACACACACACGGGGTACTCACCAGTCTGTATGTTCTCTCGTATGATCACCACATGGTTATCACGGTCCGGCCTGGTGTGTTCGTGCCAAAAGCCCACCACGTGACCCAGCTCGTGGACAACAATGCCGAACTTGTCACAGTTTTTGCCAATACTCAGAGCCTGGGGGCCGTTCCCACGCTTGCCCACGAACGAGCAACACCTGGAGGGGGCAAGAGAAGAGGGGTATGATGAGTTTGGAACACCTGGAGGGGGCAAGAGAAGAGGGGTATGATGAGTTTGGAACACCTGGAGGGGGGCAAGAGAAGAGGGGTATGATGAGTTTGGAACACCTGAGGGGCAAGAGAAGAGGGTATGATGAGTTTGGAACACCTGGAGGGGGCAAGAGAAAGGGTGGATGAGTTTGAACACCTGGAGGGGCAAGAGAAGAGGGGTATGATGAGTTTGGAACACCTGGAGGGGCAAGAGAAAAGGGGTATGATGAGTTTGGAACACCTGGAGGGGGCAAGAGAAGAGGGGTATGATGAGTTTGGAACACCTGGAGGGGGCAAGAGAAAGGGGCAATGAACTTGACATAAACCCAAAAAATAATCGTAAATAAACCTGAAATAAACCAAATAAACCTGAAATAAACCAAATATAATCTTAAAATTATACTTAATATAATTAAGTCAGATCTTAAAACATATAAACCAATCCTTATAATATAAACCATATAAAACCCCAATCCCTATATAATCCCAGCTCTTAATAAACCAAGTATCATATTGACCCAGATAAACCACATGTCGATTAAACCAACAGAATAAACTTGGGTGATTTAATATACCTGGTTTAAGATTAACCTCACCATTAGTAAACTCAATGAGGATTAAACCAACACAAACTACAACCTGGGTGGTTTAATATACCTGGTTTAAGAGTAACCTCGTCATTAATAAACCTCACTTGTAAATAAACATGGTGAGCAGATATAAACAAAAAATAACAGTTGGTATTAGCTAGACCGGAAGTAGCCATCTTGGAAGCTTCAGTCTATGAACAAAAGTCAGTCTGTCTTGTAAACAGAGCCACAACAGACGTCCACAATAGCTAATTACCACGACAGACAGACACAGACACACAGACAAAAGGTAAATTCACGTTATAAACAATTATTCATAGTGAAGAAGAAGGACTTATTCAACAAGAGTGAATAATGCAATGAACGACAAGGAAGAGTGTTTTTTAGCTCTCGTACACAGTTATGGTCAGCCAATCATAACCCTGGCTAGCTACCAAAAGATGTTTTCATTGGCTGGAGGAGGGTTGTTACTCGTGTTTACTAACCTGTTTTCGAAATTACACTTAATTGTTTTAACTCGGAGACATATAGGAGAGAGAGAGAGAGAGAGAGAGAGAGTATTAAATATCAACCATCAACCAAGACTGACCCAGGGTACACACACACACACACACACAAGAATAGTATAGGATAAGACAAGCCATTTATGTGTGTATAAGGAAGACCATATACTCGTGTGTGTGTGTGTGTGTGTGTGTGTGTGTGTGTGAACGACCTCCAACTCACTCAGGTTTCCATAAAGCGCATGAATACATTACCCCTCCGAAAAATGTATCAAGCGGCAATAAATTATACCACACATTATCATACATATAGCCGGCGGGGCCCCCATGACGTCACACGTAAACAAAGGCTTCTACCGCGTCATGAGGGATGGTGACGTGGACGGTACCCCTCATGACGTGGTGGTGACGTGGACGGTACCCCTCATGACGTGGTGGTGACGTGGACGGTACCCCTCATGACGTGGTGGTGACGTGGACGGTACCCCTCATGACGTGATGGTGACGTGGACGGTACCCCCACGATGGTGACGTGACGGCAATTCCCCCTACACGTGGTGGTGTCAGGACGGTACCCCTGGCGACGCGGTGGTGACGTGGACGGCACCCCCTGGCGACGTGGTGGTGACGTGATTTGGCACCCCTGCGACGTGGTGGTGACGTGACGTACCCTCATGACGTGGTGGTGACGTGGACGGGTACACCCCTGGCGACGTGGTGGTGACGACGGGTACACCATGACGTGATGGTGACGTGGACGGTACCCTCATGACGTGGTGGTGACGTGGACGGTACACCCTGGCGACGTGGTGGTGACGTGGACGGTACCCTCATGACGTGGTGGTGACGGACGGTACACCTCATGACGTGGTGGTGACGTGACGGCACACCATGACGTGGTGGTGACGTGGACGGTACACCCCATGACGTGGTGGTGACGTGGACGGTACCCCACGGTGGTGACGTGGACGGCAATTCCCCTCATGACGTGGTGGTGACGTGGACGCACTCACGACGTGGTGGTGACGGGACGGTACCCCTGGCGACGTTGATGACGTGGACGGCACTTCATGACGTGGTGGTGACGTGGACGGTACCCCTTCATGACGTGGTGACGGGACGGTACCCCCTCATGACGTGGTGGTGACGTGGATTTTACACCCTATGACGGGTGGTGACGTGGACGGTAAATTCCTCATGACGTGATGACGTGGACGGTACCCCCTCATGACGTGGTGGTGACGTGGACGGTACACCTCATGACGTGGTGTGGTGACGTGGACGGTACTCATACGTGGTGATGACGTGACGGTACCCCTGCGACGTGGTGGTGACGTGGACGGTACCCCTCATGACGTGGTGGTGACGTGGACGGTACCCCTCATGACGTGGGAGGAATGGCGACGTGTATCTGTCTATCCATCCATCCAGCTATCTATCAACTCAATCGTCAGAGGAGTGGGAGAAAGAGAGGGGAGTGGGAGAGAGAGAGAGAGAGGGGAGTGAGAGGGGGATAACAGGGAGAGGAAAGCAAGGAGAGTGTAGACAGTGACAGGGAAGAATTCAAACAAGTGGAAATACACACACACACAGTCAAGCTTGATGCATGGAGAGGGGGAACTAGTGCATGGTACTGGTTGCAAGGGAAGGCAGTCAGCTATTGCCTGACGTATCGTGCATGAGACATATGTCCTAGTGCGTGAGACATATATCCTAGTGCACGAGATATATATCCTAGAGCATGAGAAACATATCCTAGTGCATGAGAAACATATCCTAGTGCATGAGAAACATATCCTAGTGCATGAGAAACATATCCTAGTACATGAAACATGCCCTGGGTACATGAGACATACCCTGGTACATGAGACATACCCTGTTGCATGAGCTGATGAGAGACATGTCCCATATTAAAGCATTTTACTACGAAATTTTAAGGACCTGTTCAATAAAGGCGAAGGACAACAAGTCGTCATCAGCTGAGGTAGTGTCTTAGGGGTGTCATTACGTGGCCCTGGGGTAGATGTGTGGCCAATAAAGAAGCCCTGGGGGAGATGTGTGGCCAATAAAGAAGCCCTGGGGGAGATGTGTGGCCAATAAAGAAGCCCTGGGGGAGATGTGTGGCCAATAAAGAAGCCCTGGGGGAGATGTGTGGCCAATAGAGGGGCCCAGGGGGAGATGTGTGGCCAATAAAGAAGCCCTGGGGGAGATGTGTGGCCAATAGAGGGGCCCAGGGGGAGATGTGTGGCCAATAAAGAAGCCCTGGGGGAGATGTGTGGCCAATGAAGAGGCCCTGGGGGAGATGTGTGGCCAACAATGACATGACAAATACGGATGTAGGCCATGACACAGACAGGTGCAGGATGTGACCTTGAGCTACAGTAGGATGTCGGGGCGTAAGTCGTGCAGTCCTAACCCGTGACCATGAAGTAGGACCTAACCTAACATAACGTAATCTAACCTAACCTAACGTAATCTAACCTAACCTAACGTAATCTAACCTAACCTAACGTAATCTAACCTAACCTAACCTAACGTAACATAACCTAACCTAACCTAACGTAATCTAACCAAACTATTCCAGCTAAATTAACTTAACCTAACCTATCTTAACCTAACCTTACCAAACCAAACCTAAGCTAACCAAACCCTCCAGATATAGCGTCAGGGGGTGTTTCATTATTTGGTATGGAGACCTGTGGTGTAATGGTCAGCATGCTCGCCTCGTAAGCCAATGGACCCGGGTTCGATCCCCGGGCAGGGTGAAACTATGGTCAAGTTTCTTTACGCCATGTGCCTCTGTCTACCCAGCAGTAATTGGGAACCTGGATTTTAATCGATTTGTGGATCGTGTTCCGGGGTAATGGTTAGCCAGTGCAGTTGGCGAGTTGTCAGGTCTTCTCGGACTATTCCTTGACACTGGGTCATGCAGCTCATTAACTCAGGGTGTGGTTGTTGTGTTGGCGACAGCTTCTACACCTTAAACAAATTCACGCCTAGGTGGCCCTTGGACCGGTTAAAAGAGGTGGCAACCATTATTATTATTTCATCATCAGGTGAAATAAGCTGGAGGGATAATGTTCAGGTGATCTCAGACAAAACTCATCCTCATCTCCCCTCACTATTTAGCCCTTCCCATCTCACCTCCCTTCACTCACCCTTCTTTTCCCCCTCCCCTCACCCCTCTTACTACCCCCTTCCCTCACCCCCTTTCATCTATCGCACATAACATGAGACTCGGAAGCATGGCGTTTCATGGTGTAAATACCGATAACCGATACGCGTAAAATACCGATTAAATACCGATACGTGTAATTGCCGATATCAGCATTTTTTTAATTCCTTCTCTGTTTATTTCATTACGTGTCTTTACGCTTCGTTATTCACCAAATATATGCCATTCATGTTTGTTTTTATCAACTGTTGCTATTTATTTACTCTTTTGTCGTGTTTTTGTAATCTGCGACACATACATACATACATACATATACATACATACATGCATACATACACAGTGATACCCCAAATACGATCAAACATACGCACCTCAAACACAGAATCAAAATACAACCCCCACACACCCACACGGGGCCACTTGACGCCCGCCTCCGGCATTCATTTAAACCTATTCACTGGTAACAAGCGTATGAATGAACACGTACGGCGACACTCAGGCACGCGCGCGCCACACACACACACACCCAATCACAAACCATAACACAAACACTAATATACACACACATACACACACCCTCAAACACAAATACACACACCTCGAACATAAATACACACACACACACACACACCCAATCACAAACCATAACACAAACACTAATATACACACACATACACACC